AGATAGATAGATAGATAGATAGATAGATAGATAGATAGATAGATAGATAGATATGCTGGTCTTGTTATATTCGGGTGTTTTCCAGTGTAAGATTGAAATTGTCAAGACAATCTCAATCTTATATGGGAAAAGACCCAAATACAACAAGACCAACATACCTACACCTGTGAAAATCTATGAATATGTGTGTGTGCGTGTGTGTGCGCGTGTGTGCGCGTGTGTGTGTGTGTGTACACACACACACACACACACACACACACACACTGGTGTTTATCGATGCAAACCAAAAAGTGCATGCAAGACATCAAAGTAAGCAAATATATGCTAAAAAGATTTTTTTTAAGTGCTTAAAACCTTGGCAAGAAGGTGGTGTGCCATCCATCTGCAATCGCTCTCCTAGTCGACATGTCAGAATCTCACTACCAACTAATGTAAAACCTGGTAGGCACTGGTACCTTATTATGTCCCCTGTGTAATTAAAAAAAAAAGGAGGAAAAGAGAAAAGATTGTAGTTAAACAGCAATTAATGGGGACGTTCAGTGTTGACAATAGCATTGATTAACGAAGCACGTTTCGCACCCTATATAATGTTAAAATGACCACTAGCACAAATAGGTTCCATTAGACAGAGGAAATGATGTGGCAAATAAGCCACCTAATTTGTCATTTCATGCCAGCTCTGCTATTAATGTGACTCCCACACATTTGCACGATTGTGAATTTGTGGAGTTGAAAAGCTTTATATTTTGTTGCAGTTATTTCAGCAGTTAAAAAAGAGCATCTAGTTTTCTTATTTCTAGTATAATTTCAGAAATTATACATATATAATAGCCATCAAGTTGACTCTTCATAACCACATATATAGAATTTTTTCCCCATGATAGTCTCGTACATAATTAGATTACCAAAGATCAGGTCTCACAGACAATTTATTACATTACATTTATTTTTGTTGGTGATCATTTTCTTCTAAATATTTCATTATGCATTTAATGCTTGAACTTTGAACATTCCTAAGCACAGTAACTTTCCCTGGAATCAATCAATCATCAGTCTATCTGTCTATTTATCTATCTAGACTGACTTCAGTATACTTACTATATGTTAATAAATGCACTTTATAATTAAAACTGAAGGAACTAAATACACAAACTGTCCTATAGATGTTACAGTTTAATTACTATGCATGAATTGATAGGATAATTAGAAAGGCACAGATAGCAAAACATGGTGCTTAAATGAAACACTCCTCTTTAGAGCATTAAAGCAGTCCATCTTCTGGAAATCTTGCACACCTGTGAATTCTCTGCACTACTCTGCTTGCACAGCACTTTTGCTTCCTTTCTCTGAACATAAATGTCCTCTGTGTATATGAAAGCATGCACAGAGAATCAAGAAATTCTTCTTTCGCAATTTTATTCAAGCATTTTAATGTTCCAGAGTACATGGCTACTTTTATGTTTCTCAGGAGGCTGTTTCACCTCACATTTAATAAAAACCTTGTTTTATTTCATTCCGAGCTGTGGCACTTGGCAGTATTTACCAATATTCTATTTTCCACACATCTGAATGTTTCCCTGTGAATTCTACTTTAGCGTTAACATCTTTAGCGAGAACACAATTTGAAACAGCTGTATCAGTAAGCAGCAGAATGATTTCTTAAAACCTTTACAGCAAGTGAACATCTGATCGAACAAGCAAACTGGTTTTGAGGAAAATGGTCTTGAGCATTTAGCCAGGTAATGGACATCAAATTGCCTCTGGCTGTACATGTCTGTCTCCTCCATCTGCACATTATGCTGCTTAGGATCACAGCCAAACCCTATTGGCCAGATGAAGAATGCCACAGAGTGCAAAAGGTTTTTCAACAGCAGTCAACTGAAGTATCTCAGTGGGACCATATAACTATAAAATAGGGCTATGGTAAAAATAGGAAAGGGCTCTTTGGATATACCTAGAGTCTCTGGGGAATTTTATAATAGGATGTCTTGATGCAGTTTTGTTACCAATAAAATCAGCCTTGAATAGCTGAAATTACTTCAAGGTGTGTGGACAATTTAAAAATAGAAAATACTGTTTTTGCCACGAGCCAATTTAACTGTTAAGCACTCTATTTTGGGAAAGAAAAATATGACTCTCTTTCTTTTTCTCCTATCTACCTACCTATCTATCTATCTATCTATCTATCTATCTATCTATCTATCTATCTATCTAT